GGGCCTGTGTTGGCTTCCCTGAGGGGCCAGGACACAGAGGGGGCTTCCTGAGGAGGATATAGTCTCAGCCAGCCTGGGGGAGCCTCTCACCAGCTGGGCTTCCACACCCAGCCCGCTGCCCCTGATCTGGCCTCTGCTCCCTGGATTCCCCTGAAGCTTCCAGGCCTAAAGGCAAAGTGGTGACCAGAGGGGAGTTTGGGGGTGGTAAGCTGTGAGGCAGTGTGAGTTCTGCAGAGTGGGGGGTGGGCACCTGCCTTTGACCCCACAGGGAGTGGGGCTGTCAGCAGCACCTTTTCTGAACTGAAATCTCCTGCTTTGTTTTCTGAGTACAGGGGGCTCCACATAAGTGCTGTGGGGAACTGTCGCCGTCCTCGGGGACTCCCATGCCTGCCCCACACACTTCCTGATGCCCTTACTCCCTTTACTCTAGTCTAGATGGCGACTGCCATCTGCTTAGGGACAGACGGCTGGTCCACTAGTGACAGGGCCAGATACATTCCTTTTTTTAAATTTGTGATAAAATGCGGGGGGCCTTCGAAAGGTGCATGGGAAAGTGAGGTTCAGGGACAGTGGAACTTGATAGCATCCCCTTGTGTACATAACAAAACATTTGCTTTTTTCATCATTTGTAAGTGTGTGGTTCAGGACATGGATTAAGTTCATATCTTGGTGGTGCTATCAGGTGAGCATTGGACTGCTAAATGCAAGATCAGCGGTTCAGACCTACCAGCTGCTCAGTGGAAGAAAGATGAGGCTGTCGGCTGTAATGATTTGGAAACCCTATACAGGGTCGTAGGAGTTGGAATCCATTCTGTGCGAGTGGGTTTGGGTTTGGGCGTACCATTGCAATCTATTGATGTAAACATGCAAATGTTTACATCAGCCCCAGCAGAAGCTCTGTGTCCCCTGGGCAATAACTGCCCATCCCCTTCCTGCCAGTGGTAGCCATTAGCAGTGGATTGAGGTTAGGCATTGGGCCTGCTCTGGTCTTTATTCCTGGAGCCCATGATAAGCGTGTGATGAGAAATACACCAATGTAAGGAGGGACAGCGTGCACAGTCCTGGGTGCTCCCTGCCCCAGCCTGCACTGCCCTTCCTTCTGTAGTATGCCACCTCAACGCACTCATACAACTGCCCATCCACCCTAAGTACTGGCGTCTGCCGGTCTTTACTGACTAAATCTTTCATGCACTCATTCACTCACTCACTAGGTCACCTGTTCATCCAACAAACCATTATGAGGCTCCCACTATGTGCCAAGTGTGGTGCTAGGTGCGGGGGATGCAACCTCGAACCAGGCAGACAGCACACACCTGTGTAAATGTGAACTCTCAGGGTAGTGAGGTTTTTAAAACCCCAAGGCTATGGAATTATTGAAAGGTTAACCGAAGAAATGGTAAGTGTTTCATGTGTTGTACAACCACTTTGGAAAATGATATGGCACCACTGCAAATAACTGGGAAAAGAAATTCCACATGATCCAGCAATCCCTCTGCTGGGTACGCATCCCACAGGAGAGTCATGTGCATCTGCACTCCCATGTTCATCTCAGCAAGATGTTGGAAACAACCCAAATGTCCACCAATAGAAGAATGGATGAAGAAATGGTGGCACAGACATACAGCAGAATACTATGCATCACTAAAAAACAACGATGAAACCACAGAACAGCTCGTGACATGGGTGGACCTGGAGAGCATTATGCCGAGTGAAGTTAATCAGTCACCAAAGGACAAGTATTGTCTGAGACAACTACTCTCAGGATAAAAGCTAAGACAAAGACTTGTAGACTAAAAGGAACAGACTCTGGAGGCTCCCAAGGGAGGAGGGACAATGAAGCGACAGACTGGAAGGTTGACAAGCGTTGACTTGGATGAAAGA